ACCCCATCGCCTCAGCCCAAAAACTCCTGAAACTGATAAGCAACTTCAGCAAAGTCTCAGGATATAAAATCAATGTGCAAAAATCACAAGCATTCTTCTACACCAATAACAGACTTAAAGAAAGCCAAATCAAGAACGAACTGCCATTCGCAATTGCTACAAAAAGAATAAAATACCTTGGAATACAACTCACAAGGAACGTAAGAGACCTCTTCAAGGAGAACTACAAACCACTGCTCAATGAAATCAGAGAGGACACAAACAGATGGAGAAACATTCCATGTTCATGGTTAGGAAGAATTAATATCGTGAAAATGGCTATACTGCCCAAAGTAATTTACAGAATCAACGCTATCCCCATCAAGCTACCATTGACTTTCTTCACAGAACTGGAAAAAACCACCTTGAACTTCATATGGAACCAAAAGAGAGCCCGCATAGCCAAGTCAATTCTAAGCAAAAAGAACACAGCGGGGGGCATCACACTACCGGATTTCAAACTATACTACAAGGCTACAGTAATCAAAACAGCATGGTACTGGTACCAAAACAGAGATATAGACCAATGGAACAAAACAGAGGCACCGAAGGCAACACAACATACATACAACTATACAATCTTTGATAAACCTGACAAAAACAAGCGATGGGGAAAGGATTCCATGTTCAACAAATGGTGTTGGGAAAACTGGCTAGCCATGTGCAGAAAGCAGAAACTGGACCCCTTCCTGACACCTTACACTAAAATTAACTCCAGATGGATTAAAGACTTAAACATAAGACCTGGCACCATAAAAACCCTAGAAGGAAATCTAGGCAAAACTATCCAGGACATAGGAGTAGGCAAGGACTTCATGAACAAAACACCAAAAGCATTGGCAACAAAAGCCAAAATAGACAAATGGGACCTAATGAAACTCCACAGCTTCTGCACGGCAAAAGAAACAGTCACTAGAGTGGATCGGCAACCAACAGAATGGGAAAAAATTTTCGCAGTCTACCCATCTGACAAAGGGCTGATATCCAGAATTTACAAAGAACTCAAACGGATTTACAGGAAAAAAATAAGCCCATTCAAAAGTGGGCAAAGGATATGAACAGATACTTTACGAAAGAAGACATATATGAGGCCAACAATCATATGAAAAAATGCTCATCGCCACTGGTCATCAGAGAGATGCAAATCAAAACCACATTGAGATACCATCTCATGCCAGTTAGAATGGCGATCATTAAAAAATCTGGAGACAACAGATGCTGGAGAGGATGTGGAGAAAAAGGAACACTTTTACACTGTTGGTGGGAGTGTAAATTAGTTCAACCATTGTGGAAGACAGTGTGGCGATTCCTCAAGGCCTTAGAAATAGAAATTCCATTTGACCCAGCAATCCCATTACTGGGTATATATCCAAAAGTCTGTAAATCGTTCTACTATAAGGACACATGTACACGAATGTTCATTGCAGCACTGTTTACAATAGCAAAGACCTGGAATCAACCCAAATGCCCATTGATAATAGACTGGATTGGAAAAATCTGGCACATATACACCATGGAATATTATGCAGCAATCAGAAATGATCAGTTGGTGTCGTTTGTAGGGACATGGATGAATCTGGAGAACATCATCCTCAGCAAACTGACACGAGAACAGAAAATGAAACACCGCATATTCTCACTCATAGGTGGGTGATGAAAAATGAGAACACATGGACACAGAAAGGGGAGTACTAAACAGTGGGGTCTATTGGGGGGAAAAGGGGAGGGCCAGTGGGAGGGGGAGGTGGGGAGGGATAGCCTGGGGAGAAATGCCAAATGTGGGTGAAGGGGAGAAGAAAAGCAAAGCACACTGCCATGTGTGTACCTACGCAACTGTCTTGCATGCTCTGCTCATGTACCCCAAAACCTAAAATCCAATAAAAAATTTAAAAAAAAAAGAGAAAAGTTTATAGTAGTAAATGACTTCATCAAAGAAGAAAAAAACAGAATTATACAAGAAAAAAACGAACCCATTCAAAAGTGGGCAAAGGATATGAACAGACACTTTTCAAAAGAAGACATATATGAGGTCAAAAACATATGGAAAAATGCTCATCATCACTGGTCATTAGAGAAATGCAAATCAAAACCACATTGAGATACCATCTCATGCCAGTCAGAATGGCAATCATTAAAAAATCTGGAGACAACACATGCTGGAGAGGATGTGGAGAAATAGGAACACTTTTACACTGCTGCTGGGAGTGTAAATTAGTGCAACCACTGTGGAAGACAGTGTGGCGATTTCTCAAGGACCTAGAAATAGAAATTCCATTTGACCCAGCAATCCCATTACTGGGCATATACCCAAAGGACTATAAATCGTTCTACTATAAAGACACATGCACATGTATGTTCATGGCAGCCCTGTGTACAATAGCAAAGACCTGGAACCAACCCAAATGCCCATCCGTGATAGACTGGACAAAGAAAATGTGGCATATATACACCATGGAATACTATGCGGTCATAAAAAATGATGAGTTTATGTTCTTTGTAAGGACTTGAATGATTCTGGAAACCATCGCTCTCAGCAAACTAATGCAAGAACAGAAAACTAAATACCACATGTTCTCACTCATAGGCAGGTGTTGAATAATGAGAACACATGGACTCAGGGAGAGGAGCATCACACACTGGGGGCAGTTGGAGAGGGATAGGGGAGGGACAGCGGGGGGTGGGGAGGGATAACATGGGGAGAAATGCTGGATACAGATGAAGGGGGAATAGAGGCAGCAAACCACCTGGTTATGTATGCAGCTGTGCAACAACCCTGCATGACCTGCACATGTACCCCAGAACCTAAAGTAAAATAAAAATTAAAAAAACCACTTAAATGAAAGAATCAAAAAATATGAAACTACTATTAAAAATATATAGGAAATCCTTCATGAAATTGGTCTAGGCAAGGACTTTTGACTAAGACCTGAAAAGCTCAGATAACGAAAGTACAAATAGACAAATGGGATGACATTAAACTAAAAAGCTTGTGCACAGAAAATAAAATAACCGACAGACTGAAGAAACAAGCTTCAGAATGAAAGAAAATATTTCCAAACTATACATCTGAAAAGGCGCCATTCAGAATATATAAAAAAAAAACTTAATAGCAAGAAAACAAATAAAAACTCAAGTAAAAAATATATTAATAAATGGGCAAAAGACCTGAGGAGACATATTTTCAAATAAAACATACAAATAGCAAAAAATACATGAAAAGCGCACAAAATCACTAATCACCAGGAAAATGCACATCAAAGCCACAATGAGATACCACCTCATCACATTAGAATTGCTATTATCAAAAAGACAGGAAAAGAATAATAATCCCAGCTACTCCAGAGGCTGAGGCTAGAGAATGACTTGAACCCATGAGGTGGAGGTTGCAGTGAGCTGAGATGGTGCCACTGCATTCCAGCCGGGGCAACAAGAATGAAACTCCTTTAAAAAAAAAAAAGAGAAAGGAACAGAACAGAGGCATTGGAGGCAACACAACATATCTACTATCATACAATCTTTGATAAACCTGACAAAAACAAGCAATGGGGAAAGGATTCCCTGTTTAATAAATGCTGTTGGGAAAACTGGCTAGCCATGTGCAGAAAGCAGAAACTGGACCCCTTCCTGACATCTTACACTAAAATTAACTCCAGATGAATTAAAGACTTAAACATAAGACCTGGCACCATAAAAACCCTAGAAGAAAATCTAGGCAAAACCATTCAGGACATAGGAGTAGGCAAGGACTTCATGACCAAAACACCAAAAGCATTGGCAACAAAAGCCAAAATAGACAAATGGGACCTAATCAAACTCCACAGCTTCTGCACGGCAAAAGAAACAGTCATTAGAGTGAATTGGCAACCAACAGAATGGGAAAAAATTTTTGCAGTTTACCCATCTGACAAAGGGCTGATATCCAGAATTTACAAAGAACTAAAACAGATTTACAAAAAAAAAAAAAAAAAACAAGCCCATTCAAAAATGGGCAAAGGATATGAACAGACACTTTACAAAAGAAGACATACAGGAGGCCAACAAACATGAAAAAATGCTCATCATCACTGGTCATTAGAGAAATGCAAATCAAAACCACATTGAGATACCATCTCACGCCAGTTAGAATGGTGATCATTAAAAAATCTGGAGACAACAGGTGCTGAAGAGGATGTGTAGAAATAGGAACACTTTTACACTGCTGGTGAAAGTGTAAATTAGTTCAACCATTGTGGAAGACAGTGTGGTGATTTCTCAAGGACCTAGAAATAGAAATTCCATTTGACCCAATCCCATTACTGGGTATATATCCAAAGGACTATAAATCGTTCTACTATAAGGACACATGCACACGAATGTTCATTGCAACACTGTTTACAATAGCAAAGACCCGGAACCAACCCAAATGCCCATCGATGATAGACTGGACTGGGAAAATGTGGCACATATACACCATGGAATATTATGCAGCAATAAAAAACGATGAGTTCGTGTCCTTTGTAGGGACATGGATGAATCTGGAGAACATCATTCTCAGCAAACTGACACAAGAACAGAAAATGAAATACCGCATGTTCTCACTCATAGGCAGGTGATGCACAATGAGAACACATGGACACAGGGAGGGGAGCACTACACACTGGGGTCTATTAGGGGAAATAGGGGAGGGACAGCGGAGCAGGGAGCTGGGGAGGGATAGCATGGGGAGAAATGCCGGATGTGGGTGAATGCAAGATAGTTGCATGTTCTGCACATGTACCCCAAAACCTAAAATGCAATAAAAAAAGAATATAACAATGGCTGACAATAATGTAGATAAAGACAAAATATTGTACATTGTTGGTGGAATGTAAATGAGTATAATCATTATGAAAAATAGTACAGAGGCTCCTAAAAACATTAAAGGCAGAACTAGGACATGATTCAGCAATCCTACTACTGATATTTAGCAAAAGTAAATGACAACAGTATATCAAAGGGACATCTGCACTCACGTTTATTGCGGCACCATTCACAATAACCAAGATGTGATATTAGTCCGAGTCTCCATCAATGGATGAATGAATTTTAAATGTGGTACATCTACACAATGGAAAAATATTCAGCCATGTACAAGAAGGAAATCCTGTGATTTGCCACAAAACGAAGGAACCTGAAGGACATCGTGTTAAGTGAAAGAAGCCAGACACAGGAAGACAAATACCGCTTGACAGCATTCACATGAGGAATAAAAAAAAATTGATCTCATAGAATTAGAGAACAGAATAGTGACTACCAGAAGCTGGGACAGTTGTGGAAGGAGGGTGGGGAGATGTGTCTCAAAGGACACTAAATTGAAGTTAGAAAGAATACATTCATGAGATTGAGTACAACATGGATACTTTATACTTAATGACCACATATTGTATTATCAAAACATACTAAGGGATGTTAAGTGTTCTCACTAATGACAACAATGTGAGGTAAAACATAGATGAATTAGCTGAATTTAACATTCCACAATGTAGCTAGACCTCAGAACATTCTTTTAGAGATGATAAATACATACCAATTTGCCCATCAATTAAAAAAATTATTAAATACATTTTAAAAAATTAAAATAATTTTTATAAGGTGCTAATCTCAGGGCAGCTTGCATAAAAAGATCCAAATACATCTCTTACAGCAACCAAATGTTTTATGAACGAATAATGATATGACAGCTCTTGACCTGTTTTAAACATATGCAATTTCTCATTGTTTTGGTAAAAACATCATAAAGCCCAAGAATGTAGTACCTACGGTTTTCTATCAGAACATAGCTCACCCCTTGTTGAAGAGGAGAATATCAATTTTCTGGAGGTATCAAGGTCTGGGTTCACATCACACGTCAGATTCTTGGAGACCCAAGAGACCTACTCAAGACAAGTTCCTCAGTTTAGGCTTTGGAAAAAAACTTTCCTCTAGGGTTTGAGTTAAAGTGTTAGGAGGTTAGGTCTCCAGAAGTCAAGCAAGTCCATGGAGAAGGAGTAATGAAGGCTGCATTAACCTCAGATTCAATATGGTGTCTTGGGAACAGAGCATGCAGAAAAAAATTTCTTTCAGTGCAGGGGAAAATCCCATAGGAAAATGATGTTATCAGGTTGGAATAACAAGAGGAAATGTGCCTAATGAGCAGATTTACAAAGCTGTAAATTTCCCCTCTGCTGCTGTTCCTCAGAATATGCAATGTTGGGCTCAATGAGACATGGTTGTTTCCTTTGGAGTCCTTGATCTGGCTCAGCTACCGATGCTTTCCTGTCTCCTACTGTCTCAGGACAGAGCTTCAGTCTCCATCATCTACCATCCGGGGAGGTAGTCACACATCCACGTGGATGCCTTCCTCTCAGAAGACCCAACGAGGTGAGTCCAAGAGCCCAGTAGGTACCGTAGGAAAGGATCAGGGAGAACGCAGTCCACGAACGTGGACCCAAAGTCATCTGAGAGCCAACCCAGCCAAGCCCAGAGAAGATCCAAATACATCTCTTACAGCAACCAAATGTTTTATGTGTTTTTTTCTATGTGGTTTTCTACATGTTCAGCTAACATGTATTATTTACTTTATAAGGTGTTTAAACCCCCTAATTTTTTGTAATTGCTTTGGTTGTTGGCTTGCTTGCTTGACAAAGTATTTGATTCATGTAATTGTTTATGATGCTAAAAAGAGAAGTGAACATTGAACTCAGCAAGGAGGGTGATTCCTGACAGTTAAGTAATGGTCACGGAGGCCCAATTTGATGAGGAAATGGGAGGAATAAAGCGGTTCCAGTAAAAGTAGATACATGCCCAAGGATTATGCAAATAAGTGGAGGGAGAAAAAAGTAGTAGCCGTGGAGGCAGAGATAACTATGTATATAAATATTTATATTAAATACTTTATATATATATACATAGAGTAGGATTTTCATGTTAAAACTGTGATCTTCACTGAAGATAGTTTTGTCCCCCGTGGAATTTTGAGCAATGACAGGTTTGGCTGTCACCCTGAGGAGGGTGAGTAGAGAACAGGGAAGCTGATAAACGATAATACAATGCACAGGGCAGACCCACCACAGTAAATAATCTGGCCCCGAAGTTCATTAGCGCTGGATTGAGGAACTTGGAGCTCATGAATATCTGTGTTTTCAATATTCACATCTCCTTCTAGATTACCTCCCCAAGAGCTTGTCACACTTTACACTTCTGCCGGCAAAACAACAGAGTCCCCGTTTACTACCTGTTGCAAAGTTCCAACCCCACTCAACGTGCCACTGCCCTTCAGGCTTTTCCCAGGCTGATGGGTGTGATAGAGATTCTTGCATTAAACCGTTACTGGGTTTGAGCAAAGATTTCTACATATAATCACCATTTTGATTTGTTTATTATCATATATCCATTTCTCTAGTTATCACCATTTCAAATTATTTCTACAGATTATTGATTTTTCATTGACATTTGAGGAAATACTTTTCAGCACAAAAAGCTGTAAATTTTATTTACCTAAATATATGTCTATAATCTTCTGTTTCTTGCCTTAGCATGCTTTGCATACACATCATTTTCTATGTGGTTTTCTACATGTTCAGCTAACATGTATTATTTACTTTATAAGGTGTTTAAACCCCCTAATTTTTTGAAAAATATGAGACGGGGACAAACTTCGTTGTCTTCCAGGTAGATAGCAATCTACCAGCTTTTGTTCCACAATTCAGCATTTTCCAACTAAATTGCAATCTAACCTGTCATATGTTAAATGTCCCTATATACTAATACTTAATTTCTGATTCATTCAATACCAAATGAGTATCTGCCATATGCCAGAACATTCTAGTGACACTGTATGCAATATATTGTGTAGGTCTTTGCCAATTAAATAATTAGTCCCTTCTAATATTAAATTACTGTTATTTTATACCTTCTTTCAGTTAATTTTCAATGTCTCCTTCAAATTCACTTAAGATAGTGTTTTTAATTTACTATATTTTTCTGGCTTTATTCCACTGACAATTTTTATTTCAAAACTTCCTCTTGCTTTAATTTTTTATTTATCTTCTACACATGTACCTAAGTGAAAAAAACAAAGATAAACAGAGCAGGTGAAGTTCCTGCTCATTTGAATCCTTTTATATAATGGTGAAGAGAGTTCAATGTAATAGGCCAGGTGCAGTGGTTCACTCCTGTAATCCCAGCACATTGGGAGGGTGAGACGGAGTTTGCAGTGAGCCGAGATTGTGCCACTGCACTCCAGCCTGGGTGACGGAGCAAGACTCCATCTCAGAAATAATAACAACAGTAATAATGCTCCATCTGCCCTTTTTTTTTCTTAGCATCATTCTTCCTCATCATAGGATCTGTTGCCATTTCATATAATATATAGAATTTAAATTTTTGTCTTCTATTCTTTCTCAGTTATTAGATTGTAGAGACTTTTGTTATTTAACACCACATACTCATTTACTAGACCATGACTGAAACATATCAAAATTCACTTTATAGTCCTCAAATATGTCAAAGATTTTCTCATCAGTACTGTACAGTGCACTCCTTCAGGGAAAGACCGAGAGTGGGACAGGAATTCCTAATCCAAGATGGCAAGGGGATCCCCTGGTTGGCACCAGATTCACACCCAAAATACGCACAATTAACTTCCTGTAGAATGGAGGTTACCAGAGGCTGGGGGTGCTGGGAGGGTGGGTTGGGGACGTGTTGATCAGAGGACACAAATTACAATTAGACAGGAAGACTGAATTCTTGTAGAATGGAGATTATCAGAGGATGGGAGGGTTGCTGGGCAGAGCTGGGGAGATGTTGGTCAAAGGATACAAAATTAAGCTAGACAGAGAAAGATTTTGTTCAAGAGATCTATTGTATGCCATGGTTCTAATGGTAATGTAATCATGTACATAAAACCATCAATGGTGATATAATATAATTAATAGTAACACATTGTATTTTTGAAAAATCCAAAGATAGTGGATGTTAAATGTTCTCATCACACACGATGACTATGTAAAATGATGACTGGCTAGATTTAGCCATTCACAATATAAGCATACTTCAAAACATCATGGTGTACACAATAAAGACCCACCATTTAATCTGCTGACATAAAAAAAACCAACTTTAAAAAATAAAAGTCCATAGCTTCTTCACTGTAGGATATCCATAACAGCACTTCTGGTAGGTTTGTAATGCATGTGAGTGTCATGTTCTTTTCTCTTTTTGGTAGAAACGTCAACCAGATGAAAGCAGGGAATGATACACAAATTTCAGAATTCCTTCTTCTGGGACTTTCACAGCAACCAGAAGTGCAGCCCTTCCTCTTCGGGCTGTTCCTGTCCATGTACCTGGTCACTGTGCTCGGGAACCTGCTCATCATCCTGGCCACAATCTCAGACTCCCACCTCCACACCCCCATGTACTTGTTTCTCTCCAACCTGTCCTTTGCTGACATCTGTTTCACATCCACGACCGTCCCAAAGATGCTGGTGGATATCCAAACACAAAGCAAAATGATCACTTTTGCAGGGTGCCTCACCCAGATTTTTTTTTTCGTTGCATTTGGATGCCTGGACAATTTGCTCTTGACCGTGATGGCCTATGACCGGTTCGTGGCCATCTGTCACCCCCTGCACTACGCGGTCATCATGAACCCCCGGCTCTGTAGACTGCTAGTTCTGGGGTCCTGGTGCATCAGTGTCATGGTTTCTCTGCTCGAGACCTTGACCATTTTGAGGCTGTCCTTCTGCACAAACATGGAAATCCCACACTTTTTTTGTGATGTTCTCGAAGTCCTGAAGCTCGCCTGTTCTGAAACCCTCGTCAATAAAATCGTGATGTATTTTGTGACAATTGCAATGGGTGTTTTTCCTCTCTCTGGAATCCTATACTCTTATTCTCAGATTTTCTCCTCCATCCTGAGAGTATCACCTGCCCAAGGCCAGCACAAAGCCTTTTCCACCTGTGGGTCTCACCTCTCAGTGGTCACCCTGTTCTATGGCACGGGCCTTGGGGTATATCTCAGTTCTGCAGCTACACCATCTTCTAGGACAAGTCTGATGGCCTCGGTGATGTACACCATGGTCACCCCCATGCTGAACCCCTTCATCTACAGCCTGAGGAACAGGGACATAAAGGGGTCCCTGGGCAGACTTCTTCTCAGGGCAACATCTCTCAATAAGGGGACCACTGCCAAGCTCTCATGAATAGTGGTGAACACAATACTGAGGCCAGACTGGCCTCCTTCGGCCAATATTTTGACTTCTGCTTTTATGCATTTGGAGTGGGGCAGGGAAGGCATCTCACTCTGTCTCCCAGGCTGCAGTGCAGTGGCACGATCTCAACTCACTGCAACCTCCGTCTCCCAGGTTCAAGTGATTCTTCTGCCTCAGCCTCCTGAGTAGCTGGGATTACAGGCATGAGCCACCAGGCCCCACTGATTTTTGTATTTTTAGTAAACATGGGGTTTCGTCATGTTGGCCCGGCTGGTCTCGAACTCCTGACTTCAGGTAATCTGCCTGCCTTGGTCTCCCAACATGCTGGGATTACAGGCAGTAAGCCACTGCACCTGGCCTTCTTTTATACATTTTAAAGCATTTTTTCCTTTGGAAACTTTCCTGCCCTTGCTACTGCTAATAAAGTTATATAGGATCACCCTTTGACTTTCTAACCAGTAATTTTAACTGTATGAATATGATCTGGCATTTTCTCAGTTATCTTCAGTAATGATTTTTTGTTTGTTTGTTTTTTGGGTATGTTTGTTGTTGTTGATTTTGAGATGGAGTCTCCCTCTGTTGCCCGGGCTGGAGTGCAGTTGTGTGATCTCGGCTCACTGCAACCTCCACTGCCCAGGTTCAAGTGATTCCTCTGCCTCAGCCTTCTGAGTAGCAGGGACTACACGTGTGCACCACCACGCCTGGCTAATGTTTGTATTTTTAGTAGAGACAAGGTTTCACCATGTTGTCCAGGCTGGTCTCGAACTCCTGACCTCAAACGATCTGCCTGCCTCGGACTCCCAAAGTGCTGGGATTATAAGCGTGAGCCACTGTGCCTGGCCTGATTTGGGTTTAAAAAAAAATCAAATCTGACATGTTAAATGTATATCCTCAGAAGCGATGGGATATGTCCCTATTTTTGAAATGTTGCCCTGGAAACTCATTTACAGAGATGTTTTTTGAGGTTATGTGAATAAAAATAACTCCGAGTTCCCTCCTTTTTTATCTGATTCACTTTCCTTTCAGTCACACCAACTTAACTTTTCTACTCCTTCATAATATGGGTTTCTTGAATTTGAGAGCAATGTCTTACCATTTTTGCAATAACAATGGCTAGTGAAGTTGTCGGTAAGGAGTTCATGTTTACATGATATTTGTCAAACAGAGTAGAAAAATAGATGGGTGGATGGCTAAATACAAAATAAGATCGGGACCAGAAAAATACACATTCATTAATCTGATTAGAGCTTTTAGCCAGGCATGGTGCTGCATGCCTGTAGTCTCAGCTACTCAGGAAGCTGAGGCAGGAGAATGGCTTGAACCCAGGAGGTTGGGGCTGCAGTGAGCCATGATTTTGCCACTGTACTCCAGCCTGGGTGACAGAGTGAGCTCCTGTCTCCAATTAATTAATTAATTAGGTTTTTGAGCTAGAAACAGAATTCAAGGTTATTGATGTTGATTTTTTATATATGTTGAACTTTTTAAAAATTTATTTTATTTTTATTTTTATTATACTTTGTTCTAGAGTACCTGTGCAGATCATGCAGGATTGCTACACAGGTATACACATGCCATGGTGGTTTGCTGCCTCCATCCCCCCGTCACCTACATTAGGTATTTCTCCTAATGTTATCCCTCCCCAATCTCCCCACCCCCTGCTGTCCCTCCCCTAGCCCCCCACCTCCCAACAGACCCCAGTGTGTGATGTTCCCCTCCCTGTGTCCATGCGTTCTCATTGTTCAGCACTCACTTATGAGTGAGAACATGTGGTGTTTGGTTTTGTGTTCTTGTATCAGTTTGCTGAGACTGATGGTTTCCAGCTTCATCCATGTCCCTGCAAAGGACATGAAGTGATATAAATAACACTTTATATACCAACACAGTTTAAGAGCTTTATATACATTGCCTCATTTCATTTTTCTAATAACTCTTTTATGTAATTAGTTTTATTTCCCATATTGACAAATAAGAAAGTAAGAGCTTATGGTAAGTAGGGAACTAGCTCAAGGTAATGAATGTGTGAGAAGCTTCAAACGTAGGGTTGTATGAATCAGACAGCTGTCCCAGGCGTTATGTTACTGTGGAGTCCTCATTAGGGAAAAGGATTCAGCCTGGCTGGACCAAGGGAAAGCAAAAAGAAGAAGCAGATAAGAGTCTGCCTTTCTTCATGGTCCCGGACACAAAGCCCTCCTTACAAATAATTCACAATCTTCCTGCACGCAGCTATCACCAGACCCTCAGCTGATACAAAAATTGCAAGTTAGCTCACTGCAACCTTGGCGTTATCAATACTGTACAAAGCCCTCTTCAGCACAAAGCACAAGCACTGTCCCGTAAAATCCCCAGCAAGCTTTTGTCTTTTGCAGTCAGCTCCTCTATTGCTGGCCTGCCCATTGCTTCCTTGCAATGTATTTTCATACTTTCTCCAATCAATCTGCCTTTCCTTACCTACAACTGTGTTGGTAGATTCTTCTTATCCTCCACACCACCACCCCCAGACAGTCGCCACTCACCCATGACAGTTATCTCTAGTCAAACCTCCTAATAATAATAGTCAATCTCAAAGGAACCAGGAGTTCTCTGACATAAATTCTTACTTCTGGAATTATGCACCCCAACAAAGAAATATTCTGTGTCTGGGGGCTGCGGCCTTAGAATTAAATTAAACCTGACCCAGCAATCCCATTACTAGGTATATACCCAAAGGATTGTAAATTGTTCTATAATAAAGGCACATGCACACATATGTTCAGTGTGGCACTGTTTACAATAGCAAAGACTGGGAACCAACCCAAATGCCCATCAATGATAGACTGGATAAAGAAAATATGGCACATACACACCATGGAATACTATGCAGCCATAAAAAAGGGTGAGTTTGTGTCCTTTGCAGGGACATGGATGAAGCTGGAAACTATCCTCCTCAGCAAACTGACACAAGAACAGAAAACCAAACACCGCATGTTCTCACTCATAAGTGGGTGCCGAACGGTGAAAACACATGGACACAGGGAGGCGAACATCACACACCAGGGTCTGTCAGGGGTTGGGGAGGCTAGAGGAGGGATATCAGAGGGTGAGGGCATTGGGGAAGGATAACATTAGGAGAAACACCTAATGTAGATGACAGGGGAGGGATGGAGGAAACCACCATGGCATGTGTATACCTATGTAACAATCCTGCACGATCTGCACATGTACCTGGGAACTTAAAGTATAATAATAAAAAATAAATAAATAAAAAAGCAAATTAAACCCATGAGTAAGATTTATTGTTTCCTTTGTATTTTAATTTGACTTCCTTTGGTTGTTCATGAAAATGAGCACATTTTTGTGCTTGACCTTTTTGTGTCAAGTAATTTTTATAGTAACTCTTTTTTCCAGCTTTACTGAGGTATAATTGACACATTAAAATTGTACATATTCAAGGTGTATAGCATGATGGTTTGATACATGTACACATTGTGTAGTGACTGACTTACATTTATTTTTACTAAATTCTGAGTTTACCTCCTTTGATCATTCATAATTTTAGATTTTTAAAAAATTCTAGTTGACTTAGTTTTTGAAGTTTTATTCTTAGTCATTATGGATACATACTAGTTGTACATATTTGTGGGGTATGTATGAAATTTTTACACAAACGTACTTACATAATAATCAAATCAAGGTAATTGAGGTATCTATCACTTCAAGCATTTATCATTTCTTTGTGTTATGAACATTCCAATTCCACTCTTTTGGTTATTTTGAAATATACAATAAATTACTGTTAAGCATACTCACCCTATCATGCTACCAAATACTAGATTTTATTCCTTCTGACTGTAGGTTGTGCCCATTATCCTTTTTTCATTCTCCCTCCCTACTACCCCTCCTAGCTTCTGGTAACCATCATTCTACTTTGTTTCCATGAGTTCAGTTTTTTCAGCGCCCACATACGGGCGAGAACATGTAATATGTGTTTTTCTTGCCTGGCTTATTTCTTTTCTTGTTGTTGTTTTGTTTTGTATTTTTGAGATAGACTTACGCTCTTGTCACCCAGACTAGAGTGCAATGGTGAGATCTCGGCTCACTGCAACCTCCACCTCCCGGATTCAAGCTATTCTTCCTGCCTCAGTTTCCTGAGTAGCTGGGATTATAGGCACCCACTACCACACCCAGCCAATTTTTGTATTTTTAGTAGAGATGGGGTTTCACCATGTTGGCCAGGCTGGTCTTGAACTCCTCACCTCAGGTGATCTGCCTGCCTCAGCTTCCCAAAGTGCTGGGATTACAGGTGTGAGCTACCACGTCCAGCTGCCTAGCTTATTTCATTTAACACAATTTCCTGCAGTTCCACCCACGTTGTTGCAAATGATAGGATCTCTCATTATTTTATATGGCTGAATAGTGCTCTGTTGTGTACATGCGACACATTTTCTTTCTCCATTCATCTGTTGATGAACACTTAGTTTGATTCCAAATCTTAGCTATTGTGAATATTGCTGAAATAACCTGAGGGTGCAGGTATCTCTTTGATGTATGTGTTTCTTAAATATTTTCCATAGCTTTCCATTCATCTTTTATTATCTTTACTGTGTTACCTGCAGATGTCTCACATGTTTGAGTCCATCAATTATTTTCTGTCTTCCTTTTTCTTTCTTCTATCTGGATTTCTGCTCAGAGGGTTAATCTCTCCTTTTTTCTAGAAGTCTACTGCTATTTCACATTTTCCTCCAACTTCATTCTATTATGGTAGTTGATGTTAAGACAGGAATTTAACTTGACTTTGGTCCCCAGTTAATAACTAATTATCCAACTACCATTTTTTCAACACCTTTTCTTTCCTTGTTGATTTATTTATTTTATTTTATTTTTTGAGACTGAGTTTCACTCTTGTTGCCCAGGCTGGAGTGTAGTGGTACAATCTCAGCTCACTGCAACCTCCACCTCCTGAGTTCAAGTGATTCTCCTGCCTCAGCTTCCCAGGTAGCTGGGATTACAGGTGTGCACCACCACACCTGTAATTCTTGTATGTTTGTATTTTTAGTAGAGACGGGGTTTCATCATGCTGGCCAGGCTGGTCTCAAACTCCTGACCTCAAGTGGTCTGCCTGCGTCAGCCTCCCAAAGTTCTGGGATTACAGGTGAGAGCCACCACACCTGGTCCCCTCATTGATTTTAATATCACTTGTATAATATAGTAGCATCTTATTTTAGTGAATTTGTTTTTTATCATCTTGAAGCATTGGTATGAGGTCACGCCCCACGTGACGTTTTGGCAAATGACAGGCCACGTATATTATGATGGACCCATCAGATTATAATGGAGCTGAAAATTTTCTTTTCTTTTTTTTTCTTTCTTCCAGACCAAGTCTTGCTTTGTCACCCCGCTGGAGTGTAATAGTGCAATCTCAGCTCATTGCAGCCTTCTCCTGTGGCACTCAAGCCATCCTCCCATGTCAGCCTCCCGAATAACTGGACTACAGGTGCACACCACCACGTTTGGCTAGTTTTTTGTACCTTTTGGTAGAGGCGAGGTTTTACCATGTTATCCCAGCTGGTTTCAAATGCCTGGACTCAAGCAATCCTCCTGCTTCGGCCTCTCAAAGTGCTGGGATTGCAGGTGAGTCACAGTACCTGTCCTGAATTCAGTGAGTCTTTCTAGTGAATTGCTGAACCTAAAGGTGGTCTCGGGGACCCCTGACATAGAGACCACGGATACTGTTTTGTTAAAAGAAATAATGGTTTTTCTTTACCCTCTTCAGTTCTGCCACTCTTTGAGAATATAAGAAACATGAGTTGACCCCTCTTCTTGTTGAAGCTGAGGCTTCCCTGCTCCCCAAACCTAGGAGAAACTTTTCTTCCCTTCCCTTGCTCATGCCCTCCTTCAAGTCCTCAGCATATGCTCAGAGAGAAATAGACCTTATATACCTTTCATTCCTGCTCCTTTATTTCACTTTTCCCTCCCCCCTAAACAAGCCAAGCAGAACATGTGTGCTCAGCCCACGGTCAGTTGGGCGACAGATGTGTCCCCAGGACTCCCCTCCCCAGCCCCCTTCCCTCCTCTCTGGGAGGGGACAGAGCTGGGGGGTCCCTCACATAGCACTCTCATTGCCTCCCCGTCCCCGAGATGCCCCCTTCTCCTGTGCCATGAGGGACTTGTAGGGTTTCCCCAGGCTGGGGAGGGTGAGCTCAGCTTCTTGCAGCTCCAGCTCCCGCTGAGACAAGTGCTCGATGACGGCCGCTCCAATTGAGTCTCCCAGTACATTGGTCATTGTGCGAAGCCGGTCACTGGTACGGGAAAAAGAAGCTGCCATTAATTGGGGGCTTGGAAACCTTCGCAGGAAGAGGGTGCATCAGAGGGGGTCCCTGCGCCAGGGAGTCAGGGGGCTCCCATTCCAGTACAACATGACTCTGTTTCAGAAACACAAACACAAGAACAAACGACAACAAAACCAGGAGGTTTACATTAAAGGAAGCCTGGAATTTCATTCCCAGTGAGCTGTCAGCTGAGCCTGCATTCCAATTTTATTTTATTATTTTATTTATTTATTTTTATTTTTGAGATGGAGTCTTCCTCTGTCGGCCAGGCCACAGTGCAGTGGTGCAATCTCTGCTCACTGCAACCTTGGCTTCCCAGGTTCAAGCGATTCTCCTGCCTTAGCCTCCCGAGTAGCTGGGATTACAGGCGCCCACCACCATAACCGGCGAAGTTTTGTATTTTTAGTAGAGATGGGTTTCACCATCTTGGCCAGGCTGATCACTGTGTACTGCCCGTAAACCTCCTGTTTTTAAAAATTGAGATTTAAATATATATTTGCAGCTGGGAGTACCAGCTCACACCTATAGTCCCAACTACTTGGGAGGCTGAAACAGGAGGATTGCTTGAGCTAAGGAGTTCAAGGTCAGCCTGGGCAGCACAGCAAAACCCAATCTCTAAAAAAATAAAAATAAAAAATTTTTTTTTAAACTTTAAAAATTTTGAAATGAAGTTTCACTTGTTGCCCAAGCTAGAGGGCAGTGGCACGATTTCAGCTCACTGCTACCTCTGTCTCTCAGGTTCAAGTGATTCTCCTGCCTCAGCCTCCCTAGTAGCTGGGATTACAGGTGCCCATCAGCATGCCCAGCTAATTTATTATTATTAGTAGTAGTAGTAGAGACAGGGTTTCGCCATGTTCTCCAGGCTGGTCTTGAACTCCTAACCCCAGGTGATCTACCCACCTTGGCCTCCAAAACTGCTGAGATTACAGGCATGAGCCTGTAATCCCAGCCTGGACCACCTTTTTGTGACTTCTACATAAAACAGGTAAAAGAGGAGTTCTTCCAGCTGATAGGTAAAGCCCCAATGCTGTCTCCACACCCTACTTCCCAAAGATAACTCTGGGATTTGGGATCCAGAGGCCATGGATTGGAGGCCTCTCCAAGGCCTCCTTTTTACTCGAAAATTCTGGACCACTGCATCTTTGCTGGAATGAAAGCCCACAGGCTGAGGATGGTGCAGGGGAAAGCAGTGTGTGCAGAAGAGGGAGCAGCAGGGTCCAGCCTGGAGAACACTCACAGAAACCAGTCCACGGCGATGATGAGCGTGATGTCTTCCGTGGGCAAGCCGACCGACGTGAGCACAATAACCATGGTGACCAGACCCGCCTGGGGGATGCCAGCAGCCCCAACACTGGCTGCTGTGGCCGTGATGCTGCAGGGGAAGGGAGAACATGGGGAGGCAGGTGGAGGGAAGGGGGCGAGGAGGAAGAGACAGGAAAAGAATAGAGAGGGGAAGAGATCAGCTCCCCAAAGCATCTTAAATTAAATACCCAAGCCAGACACAAAGAGAAGAATACTGCCTGATCTCGCTCTCTGTCTGTTTTGTTTGTTTTGGAGACAGTCTCACTCTGTTGCCCAGGCTGAAGTGCAGTGGTACAGTCTCAGCTCACTGCAACTCACTGCTCACTCCCCCTTAACCTCCTGAGTAGCTGAAACCACAGGCACAGGCCACCACGCCTGGTTAATTTTTTTGTATTTTTGTAGAGATGGGGTCTCACTATGTTGCCCACACTGGTCTCAAACTCTGGGCTAAAGCAATCCTCCCACCTCAGCCTCCCAAAGTGCTGGGATTATAGACATGAGCCACCAGGCCTGGCCTTGATCTCCCCTCTACGTGGAATCTAAAAGATAATAGTAATAAGTTGAATACATAGAAACAGAGAATAGAATGGTGGTCACCAGAGGTGACAGGGAATTTGGAGACGTAGTCAAAGAATTCAAAGTTGCACGTAAAGGCTGAGCATAGTGGCTCACACCTGTAATCCCAGCACTTTGGGAGGCCAAGGTGGGAGGATTGCTTGAGCCCAGAGTTTGAGACCAGCCTGGGCAACATCGTGAGACCCTGTCTTTGCAAATTTTTTTTTTTATGAGACAGTCTCTGTCACCCAGGCTGAAGTGCAATGGCACAATCTCGGCTCACTACAACCTCCCCCTCCTGGGTTCAAGTGATTCTCCTGCCTCAGCCTCCTGAGTAGCTGGGATTACAAGCATGAGCTACTGTGCCCGGCCAGTCTCAGGTATTTCTTTATAGCAATGTGAGGACAGCTCAATACACCTGGTAAGTCTCAAACTGGCCATCCATCAAGCTCTCTTCAGATTCCCAGGAAGAAGGTAGATGGGATGCTAAGTGCACTGGTCCATTTAATACCACTTCAAACATCTCCCATCCTCACCTTTTTTGGTAACATCCCTACTCCCAATGACATCAAAGTTTCCCTTGAGAAGTGTTCATTATAATGTTTGGGACCTTAAGCAAAAAAACAAAAAAAGGCGGGGGGGTTTCCTTTGTTTTCTTTATGTCATTTTTTTTCTGCATCCTTGGACTCCCATGGAAAAGGAGGTCATCCCATCAGAGGGTGTGCATGGAGCACTCAGTACATTCATTCTTCCAACACATATTTATCAAGCATATACTACATGCTAGTGTAGTGAAATAAGCCAGGTACAGAAAGACAAATACTGTCTGATCTCATTTATATGTGGAATCTAAAAAAGTTAAACTGAGAGAAGCAGAGAGAAGAATGTGGTATATATACACATAGTAGACATTCCCATAAAAAGAAAATCCCTGCCCAAACATTACATTCTTTTTTTTTTTTTTTTTTTTTTTTTTGAGATAGAGTTTTGCTCTGTTATCCAGGCTGGAGTGCAGTGGTGCAATCTCAGCTCACTGCCACCTCCACTCCCAGGTTCAAGCGACTCTTCTGCCTCAGCCTCCTGAGTAGCTGGGATTACAGGTACCTGCCACCATGCCCGGCTAATTTTTGTATTTTTAGTAGAGATGGGGTTTCACCATGTTGGCCAGGCTGTTGTCAAACTCCCGACCTCAAGTGATTTACCTGCTTAGCCTCCCAAAGGGGCAGGATTACAGGCGTGAGCCACCGCGCCCTGCAGAGCTTACAATCTAGTATGGGAAGCAGGCAATAAACAAAATGAATAAGTAAAATTCCTACTATATGGAGATGGTATTACATGGGGAAATGGCGCCTCCTTAGCAAGTCCCGATATGCCATTTTAAACAGGGCTTCCCTGAAAAAGTAACCCTGAAGACCTGAAGGAGATGACGATGTTCACTGTTATTTTTATAATGACTAAGTTGGAACCACTGGATGATGGAACCTATAAATACAGGAATAAATAAATGTATAGGGCCTATAAACATAAGAATCTATATTTATAACAAGAACCTCGGGTTATTAGGATGCACCCACCATGCTTTGGAAAACACGGGACAAAGGGCTCTCCCATGGGAGAGGAGAACTGGTGGGAACGTCTTGGCAGCTCCTGACAGCCTCACGTGGCAGCTTTACCTTTCACCTCATCCGGCATTGGGGCTCTTCCCACATCCCCCTTCCAACATCAGAGGGCTCCTCTGAGCTCCAGCTGTGGCCCCCTCCTCCCTCTCCAACCCTCCCAGGGAAGCTGATGACAGCTTAGCTCTCCCTTGGTGGCAGGTCCCACCCAAGCCCCCTCACCTGATGGTTGTGATCTGACCCAGGTTTAGCTCGTAGTTGTTAACTTGAGCAATGAAGATGGCAGCCAGGGCCTCGTAGAGGGCAGTGCCGTCCATGTTGACCGTGGCACCCACGGGCAGGACGAACCTGGTGATGCGGCGGTCCACACCCAGGCCCTCCTCCAGGCAGCGGAAGGTGATGGGCAGCGTTGCGGAGCTGGGGAAAGAGCCTAGGGCTGAGGATGGGGCGTGGACTGGTGGGGGCGGGGCTGGAAACACGGCGTGGCCTAGTTGGGCAGGACAGAGCATGGACTTGGCAAAGTCTAGGACAGGCTGGGAACGGGGCCTAGCCTAGTGGGGCTCGGCTGAGAATGGGAAGGGCCGCGTCACATGGGCGGAGCTGAGAACAGAGGAGGAGTAGGTGAGGCGGGGCTCAGAGCAGGGCGTGGGGAAGAACTGAGAACAGGGCGTGGCCAGGTAGGGCGGGGCTCAGAGCAGGACAGGGGCTGGGCGTGGTCTGTGCAGAAATGAGCATTCCCCATGAGAACATTGAGCATACTAGGTGGGTGCTCCGCAAGAGGCAGAAAACTGTACAAAGGAAAGGAGCGACTCCTCACGATACAGGGAGAAAACAGCAATGAGGGTCTCCCAAGCTGAAGATCTCTTGATCCACTTAAAGCCAATAGCTAAGGCCAATGACTCACACTAGTTTATGGGAAAAACTACACACTAGTTTATCATAAAGGTCTGCTGACTTTAGAGAGGGTCCCTATTCGGGACTCCCCTGTTTACACTAGCATTGACCTCAGCTATGCGAACCCTCTCTTTCCATCTCTCCGCCACTTCTTATCGGAGAAAAGTGACCTAATTGATGGGCGAGTTTGGTCAAAGAAATGGGCATCTTATTTGAAGTAAGCCTGTCCACAGGATGTGTGTTCTGTGGTCGGCTTTACATCATACAGTTAGAATTCTGGACTCATAGAGGGTCTTTGGGTGTCCAGCTCGGCAGTGACTACATGAGTTTAATTCTAGGATACAGTGACATCAGTCTTACATAGCCATAGACCAAGAGGCACATTCCCTGACCAGCGTTATGGGTAATTTAAAAAATGATATTTTTGACCAGGTGCAGTGGGTCATGCCTGTAATCCAAGCACTTTGGAAGGGCAAGGCAGGAAGATCACCTGAGCTCAGGAGTTCAAGACCAGCCTGGCCAACATGGCAAAACCCCATCTCTACCAAAAAAAAAAAAAAAAAAAGGAAAAGAAAAAAAATTGACTGGGAGGGCTGGAATCATGCACCTGTGATTCCAGCTACTTGGGAGGCTGAGGTGGGAGGAATCACTTGAGCCTGGGAGGTGAAGGTTGTAGTGAGCATAGATCACATCACTGCACTCTAGCCTGGATGATAGAATGAGGCCTCATGTCAGAAGAAAAGAAAAAAAAAGATATTTTTGGCCAGGCATGGTGGCTTACACCTGTAATCCCAGCACTTTGAGAGGCCAAGGTGGGCAGATCACATGAGGCCAGGAGTTCAAGACCAGCCAGGCCAACATGGCGAAACCCAATCTCTACTAAAAATACAAAAAATTAGCCAAGTGTGGTGCCACACGCCTGTAATCCCAGCTAGTTGGGAGGTTGAGGCAGGAGAATCACTTGAATCCAGGAGGCAGAGGTTTCAGTGAGCCAAGATCACACCACTGCACTCCAGCCTGGGTGGCAGAGACTTTGTCTCAAAAAAAAAATTCTTTTATCTTTTTGGCTGTTATGCTACTTCTCAAATTGTTTTTGAATTTGGATGATGCTCTTAATTAATCCCCTAAAACTACAAAAGAAGATGAAGAAGAGGAAGAGGAGGAAGAGGAAAAGGAGGAAGAAAGACGAGTAAGAGGAAAAAGGAGATGGAGGAAAAAGAGGAGGAGGAGGAAGAAACAGCCAAAAGAGCTCCCAGACACCATCTCACAAGGGGATATCACACCTTCCAAGCTAGGAAACGACTGAGCTCATGGGGCATCCTGGAACCTTCCCTTTTCACCTCAAAATTGGCGCCTGGTTTTCCTCCGTATAAAGTTAAAAAACAGGAAAGGAGAAGGGGAGACCAGGAGAGCCAGCCCAGGAAAATGACCAACCCCCAGGTGTTGCACCAGCTGGAGACCCTCAAGAGCCCTCGGAGAAGCCGTGAAGGACAAGAATTGCATCCAGGAATGGTGCTGGTGTGGGGAGCAAGGCCATACCTGGAAGACGTGCCCATGGCAGTAATGAGGGCTTGTAGCATGCCCCCAATGAAGGGGAAGGGGTTCCGGTGAGTGACGAGGAAGTAGATGAGGGGAAGGACGCCACCAGCATGGAGGAACAGGCCCACGATGACGGTCAGGGTGTACATGCCCAGCTGACCCCCCAGGACAGCCATGTCTTCCATCTCCAGAATCTTCCCAGCGATCAGGAACAGGATGCCCACGGGTGCATACCTGTGTGAGGGAGCCACATACCTGTGAGGGCTCCCTCCTGACTTCCCTTGCAGGTCTGAAGCTGGCATCTCCAAGGCTTTGCCCAAATAGGGCCCTGGAGCCATGCAGTACCCACCAGACAGCACCCTACACCATCCCAGTCTTCCCCGTAGATTAACGAATGCCACTGGGCCCCATGAATGAAGCCCACCTCCTCCTGATGCTCTTCCACATCTCCCCCGAGTGATAGAAAAGTTTCTACTACTCCAGGATATACAACCTTTCACATCTCTCCTTTCTACTCCTCATTCAAGACCTCTCAACCCCACCCCAAATAATTACTACCTTCAGGATCCTTCCCTAGACATTGCCAAAACATTCCCTCACTCTGGCCTTCTAAGTTTCCTTTATCTTCTGCCCCCAACTCTTTTTTCCACATTTGAAACCTTTATTCCCCTATTCTCTTCCCTATCAGTGCCTGTTCTCACTCATTCACCAGCCTAGGAATTTCCCACTGATATCTCAAACCACCTGTCCTATCAAAACCACCTATGTATTTATTCATTCCACAAATATTGACTGAGTACCTACTATGTTCCAGGCACATGGCTCCTGTCCTCATTGCACTTACATTCTATTATGGACTAAATGTTTATGTCCCATCCACCCTCCCACCAAATTCATACGTTGAGATTGTTACCCCCAAAGGCATAGTATTGAGAGATGATTAGGTCGTGAGGGTGGAGCCATCATGAATGGAATTAGTGCCCATGTAAAACAGACACCAGAGAGCTCCCTCCATCCTTCTGCCATTTGAGGACACAGCAAGAAGATGCCTTCCATGAACCAGAAGACAGCCCTACCAGACCTGGAATCTGTGGGTGCCTTGATCTTACACTTCCCATCCTCCCGAATTGTGAGAAATACATTTTTGTTGTTTAAGCCATGATGTCTATGGTATTTTTGTTATAGCAGCTGACATGGACTAAGACATATTCTAATGGGGAAATCAGAAGGTACTCATAGAAATGCACTAATTACAAACTTCAAGTGGTGATAACAGCAAAGGAGAGTCATTGGATGGGGCTGCTTCTGAGCAGGTGGTCAGAAAGGGCTTCTTTGAAGAGGTTACATTTAAGCTGAGACTCGCATGATGACAAAGTACCCTGTGTGTCTGGGAGAAATCATTGCAGGCACAATGCAGATTCTGAGATGGCATGCACTAGGAGTGCTGGATGACCAGAGAGAAGACCAGTGTAGCTGGAGTAGTGAGTAAAAAGGAGAACAGAGAAGATGAAAGAAGCAAGTTCATCAGGGGCTCACCTGTTTTCCCCACAATCCAGTCTGCTGGTCAACTATGTGAGTTTCTGCCATCGGGACCATCATCTCATTTCTAGGCTTCAAGGGATACTCCTCTTTCTTTAGAAACTGAAGTATATGGCTAGGGGTGGTGGTTCATGCCTGTAATTCCAGCACTTTGGGAGGCTGAGGCAGGTGGATCATGAGGTCAGGAGTTTGAGACCAACCTGACCAATATTGTGAAACCCACCTCTACTGAAAATACAAAGCCAGACATGGTGGCATGCGCCTGTAGTCCCAGATACCCAGGAGGCCGAGGCAGGAGAATCACTGGAACCCGGGAGGTGGAGGTTGCAGTGATCTGAGATCACGCCACTGCACTCCAGCCTGGGCAACAGAGCGAGACTCTGTCTCAAAAAGAAAAAAAGAAATTGAAGTCTACTTTTGCTCACGTTTATCATGGATGTACTGGAGAAGGTGAAGACCTCTTGGGAAGGTGGTACAATAGCTTGAGTCAAAAATGAGGATGTGGGGACTTCTCCAGTCACATCTGTGTTCTCCAAGCTGGGCTCAGACTTATCCCTAGTAGCTGCTGAGTCCTCTCCAAGTCAACGTGACTAGATCCACCTCTATGCTTAGTCTGAGTAATCCCTCTTTCAACTTTCTTACCTCCATCCTTCCACCTCATACCCTGCAAAATTCTTTCACCCAAGATTAATTGTGCATGATTTCCTAACCCCTACAGTCAGCCACCTGGCACATCTGGATATTTCACCCAATCATGCCATTGACACCACTATAAATTCATGATTCCCAATTCAGCTGAGCCTTCAATATTCCTTGCTAGTGCTCTGCTTATCCTTAGTAAGCTTCCCCAGTCCCATTCCTTTTTAATAATTTGCCAGGCCCTCAACTTGGCCTCAAGTCCCCTATACAACTTTCCAATTGTTTGGGATGATGTACAAAGTCTCCTCCCATTTGGGATCTGACAGCCTTGTTAATATCTTCACTGCTCCCAACTTACCTCATGCTCTCACCTTCCTGAATGCCCCACCATTCTCCAAACAACTTAGGTACTTTCAAGCTGTGCACATTCTCTTCCCTCTGCCTGAAATACTTCTCACCTCTCACTGTCCAACTGAAGTTCTACTCACCTGTCAAGATGCAGTTAAGAGGTGACCTTCTTCATGACTCCCTCTTTAGGAAGCATTCACTGTGTATCCCTCTACTCACTGCTCACTTCTCCATGAACCCAACACTTATTAAATGTTTCTTTGCTACAGAACCTACCACTTTGTGTTACATTGATCTACAACGTGTCTCTCTCCCCAAAGATTTTGTGCGCTCCTTGAGGAAAAGGTATGAGTGCAATGTATCTCTGTATTCCAGAGGTCAAGACAGAATCTGTCTGGGAAAATGCCTGCTGAGTGAATGAAGAAATTTTTGAAGGAATGAAGGAATTTAGGGAAGGAAGGAAGGAAAGAAGGAAGGAAGGAAGGAAGGATTAGCAAGTGGATGAAAAGTAAGGAAATAAACAAATGAGACGTTAGTATGTGAGTGAACAAATAATATTGAGTGAACGAAGAGAATACTTGAGTAAATGAGTGAAAGAATAACAAATGTATAGATGAATGAGTGGGTCAAAGAATGAATTAGAATAAATGGCTTAACTGAGTAAATAAACAGATGAGTCCATCAATGATTTAACTAACGCATGGATGAGTTTGTAAGTAACTTTATGAGCGAAGGAATGCACAAATGAGTGAATTAACTGATGCATGGAAGAATGAATAAATGAACAAGAAAGTGACTGAACTGAGAGAAAAATGAGAGTAAGTGAATAAATCGGTGAATGAAGAGAAAAATGAGGAGGTAAATGAGTGACTAAATCACTGCAGAAAGGAGTGAATGAATGAATAATAACTAACCAATGCATAGAAGATGAGTAAATGTGACAACACAGATGAACCTGGAGGACATTCTGCTAGTTGAATAACCAAGATACAGAAAGGCAAATACCACATGATCTCACTTATCTGTGGAACCTAAACAATCAAACTCATAGAATCCAGGAGTAAATTGGTGGTTACCAGGGACTCTCAGGGAAGGGACGCTGGGGAGATGTTGTTCAGGAGAAATAAGTTCAAGAGGTCTACTGGACAACGTGGGAGGTATAGCTAAAAACAATGTATCGTATACTTGCAAACCATGAAGAGAGTAGATTTTAAGTGGTCTCTCTCTCTCTTTTTTTAATTTGAGACTGGGTCTCATTCTGTCACCCAGGCAGTCACAACTCATTGCAGCCTCTACATCCCAGGCTCAATCTGTCCTCCTGCCTTAGCCTCCCAAGTAACTGGGACTACAGGCATATGCCACCATACCCAGCTAATTTTTTTTGTATTTTTTGTAGAGATGGTCCTTGCCATGTTGCTCAGGCTGGTCTTGAATTCCTGGGCTCAAGTGATTCTCACACCTTGGCTTCCCAAAATGCTGAGATTTTAGGCATGAGCCACCACACCCAGCCTAGACCTTAAGTATCCTCACCACAAAAAAATAAGTATGTGAGGTAACATCTATGTTAGCTCAACTGAGCCATTCCACAATGTAGAGATATTTCAAAACATTATGTTTCACATGAAATATATATGATTATATTTCATGTGCAAATTAAAAATACATTAATTTTTTAAAAATGAATAAATGATGACCAAATATATCCTTGAACCAATGCATGAAAGAATAAACGTAGATGAATAAATGTCAGTGAATGGTTTGGTCAATGCATGGAAGAATGAGTGAATAAACAGATAAACAAGGGAGTGAACAAGTGAACAAATCATTGCAGAAAAGTGTGAATGAATGAATGAGTTAGTGAGTTGGCCAGTGATTTAACCACTGCTTAGAAGAATGAATAAATGAATAAGGAAATGAGTAAATCAACACAGGGAAGAATGAGTATAGATGGTCAGTGCATAGAAGAATGAGTGAATGAACAGATGAACAAAGGAGTGAAAGAGTGAACGAATCATTGCAGAAAGACATAAATGAATGAAAGAGTTAGTGAGTTCTTCCATGAACTAACCAATGCATAAAGAGTGAATGAATGAGGCCGGGCGCGGTGGCCCATGCCTGTAATCCCAGCACTTTGGGAGGCCGAGGCGGTCGGATCATGAGGTCAAGAGATAGAGACCATCCTGACCAACATGGTGAAACCCCGTCTCTACTAAAAATACAAAAATTAGCTTGGTGTGGTGGCACAAGCCTGTAGTCCCAGCTACTCGGGAGGCTGAGGCAGGAGAATTGCTTGAACCCAGGATGCGGATGTTGCGGTGAGCCGAGATTATGCCATTGCACTCCAGCCTAGCAACAGACTCCTGTCTCAAAAAAAAAAAAAAAAATGAATGAATGAACAGATGAACAAGGAAGTGAACTAGTGATGAAATCATAGCAGATGAACATGAATTAATGAGTTAGTGAGTGGGTAAGTGAATTACCCAATATGTAAATGAATGATCAAAAGTCCCCAACAAGCCTTTCAGCAGCTTCCCCATGATCAAAAGGCCCCAACAAGCCTTTCAGCAGCTTCCCCACAGCCTGACTTCCCAGCTCTTGCTCTGCTTTCCCGTGGGCACAGCCCAGGACTCACCAGATAATGATGCCCACCAGCCTCATAATAGCCTCATTGAGGCTGTCGAAGAAGTCCCTGAGGACTCGGCCCTTGTGTTTCATGCCACCGATAACCAGCCCAAAGGCCACAGAGAAGACCACGAGGCCCAGGGCATTGATGCCGTTGGCAGAGCCAGGCACAGGTACGGTCTCCTCAAAGCTCAGCACCTCCTGCAGGGTGCCCAAGGCCCGAGTGACATTTTCCAGGAGGCTGGTTCCATTCTCCACTGAGAACGGAGGAGGCATGGAGGCACCCAGCTCAGACCCGTTCTCTGTCCTCACGATGGTCCTGGTTACCACCCTTGTGCTGTACTGCGTCTTGAACTGGAACAGAGAGAGATTGGGCCCATACTCAATTCAGTGGACACATCAGAATCACCTGGAGAAATTCCTTGAGCCCACCCACTTCCAGCTCCCACACCCTGGAAGGCCTTATCCAGCAGATCTGAATGAGTGAATGAATGATTTGATCGATGCATGGAAGACTGAGTGAATGCATCAGTAAACCCCTTATAAAAAATTGTATGGAGGTTCCTCAAAAAATTAAAAATAGAAACTACCATAGGACCCAGCAATCCCACTACTGGGTATATATCCAAAGGAAATGAAATCAGTGTCTCAGAGAGATCTCTGCACCCCCATGTTTATTGCAGCACTATTCACAGTAGCCAAGATATGAAATCCACCTCAGTGTCCATCAACAAATGGATGGATACAGAACATGTGGTATACGTATACAATGAAATACTATTCAACCTTGAAAAAGGAAGAGATCCTGTCATTTGTGACAATAGGGTTGAACCTGAAAAACGCTGTGCTATGTGAAATAAGCCAGGCACAGAAAGGCAAATATTGCATGCTCTCACTTATATGTGGAATTTACAAGAGTTGGACTCACAGAAGCAGAAAATGGAATAGTGGTTACCAGGGACTGGGGGCCAGAGACATTGGGGAGATGTTAGTCAAAGGACAAAAAATTTCAGCTAGACAAGAGGAATAACTTCTCTATTATACAACATGGTGACAATGTAGTGTGTATTTGAAAATCACCAAAAGGGTAGATTTCAAGTGTTTTTATCTCAAAAAATGATATGTATATAAGGTCACTGATATGTTAATAAGCTTGAGTCATTCCACAATGCAGACATATTTCAAAACACCATCATAGCTCATAAATAAGTGCATTAAAATTTTTTTTGAAGAATATGACTGAATAGATGAATGAGAGAGTGTACAAGCAATGTGTGGAAGAAGTCGTATAGATCCTGAATTTTTCACAAGTTCCCTGGGCAATGTTTAACCAGAGTCGAGGGCCTCTCCACTCAACCATCTCCGGCCAAAGTTTCTGGAATCTACAGCAGCCTTTGTGCCTCCTCTAGCCCTGTGCTCAGGAAGTCCCCGGCCTAAGTCCTTTTTTTTTCCTTTTTTTGAGATGGGGTCTTGCTCTTTCACCCAGGTTGGAGTGCGGTGGTGTGATCACAGCTCACTGGAGCCTTGATCTCCTGGGTCCAAGCAGTCCTCCCACCTGAGTCTCCAAAAGAATGAGATGGGCATGCCCAGCTAATTTTTTGCTATTTGTAAAGACAGAGGGTCTCACTCTGTTGCCCAGGCTGGTCTTGAACTTTTGGCCTCAAGTGACCCTCCCGCCTTGGCCTCCCTAAGTGCTGGGATTATAAGCCTGAGCCATCATGCCTGGACCTAAGACCTTCTCCTTATCCCTCCTAGATCACCATGGAAAATACATTATTTCTCCTAGACTCCTCAAGAACCCCTGCCCATTGCTCTGTCAGGCCCTTCCTCCCATCTCTTGCCCTTGGACCATGCCCTCAGCCCCAGGCTCCCGCCACCCTCCGAATCTCCTTGATCAAACTGTGTACTTCCCCCTGACCTGTTTGAAGCAGGCCTCCACAAGGTTTGGTGGAAACATATTTCTGCAGAAAAACATCAGAAGGAAAGTGGTTAGACCGTGGAAGGGCGTCTAGGGTGATAACAGTAATACTAACACCAAGAATGGTAATGATGGCAGCCAACATATGAATGCTTCCTCTAGACTGGACACTGAGCAAGTATCATCTGATTTAAACACTAAATAACCCTAGACATGAGTGCTATTTGATGTCCCCATTTTACACAGAAAGAAACCAAAGCCTAGAGAATTCATGTAAGCTACCCAGAGCCACAGAGCTGCTAAGAGGTGCAGACAGACCTCAAATCCAGGTCTGAGTACTTGGCAGAGGCCTACATCACCTCAAGAGTTTAATTCAAACACAGGTCTGTCAGTGATGCCTCAAAAAAACACAGAAAACTCCTAAACTCTTGTAACTTTAGGTTTCCCCTGGGTCAATGATTAAGGTAGTACCATGGCTATCCTTGATTCTGGCTGGCAAAAATCTGACTGTTGTAATTAAAACAGGTGGTATGAGATACCATCTTACCCCAGCTAGACCGGCCATTATTAACAACTCAAAAAACTGCAGATGTTGGCATGGATGTGGGGAAAGGGGAACATTTATACACTCTGGTGGGAATGTTAATTAGTACAACCTCTATGGAAAACAGTATGAAGATTTCTTAAAGAGCTAAAAGTAGATGAACCATTCCACCCAGTGATCCCACTAGTGGGTATCTACTCAAAGGAAAAGAAGTCACCCTATCAAAAAGACACCTGCACACACGTTTATCACAATATAATTCACAGTGGCAAAGAAATGGAATCAACCTAAGAGTACATTCACTGATGTGTGTATAAAGAACACATGACATATGTGTTTTAATGCTCTCCCTCCCCTTGCCCCCCACTGCCCGACAGTCCCGGTGTGTGATGTTCCCCTCCCTGTGTCTGTGTCTTCTCATTGTTCACTTAGGACACATGAATACTACTCAGCCATGAAAAAGAATGAAATAGGCCAGGTGCAGTGGCTTAGGCCTGTAATCCCAGCACTCTGGGAGGCTGAGGTGGGTGGATCACTTGAGGCCACGAGTTTGATAGGAAGTCTCCACCCCAAAGAGGATGTGGGTCATATGTTTTGTGCAACTTTGTTCAGTATGCATGCATCAGAACCCCCTCCATGAATATGCGTAGCTCCTCCTGTAACCTATTGAATATGGATGTTTAGCCAACACATTCAGCATGAAGCTCCTCCTCCAATCCCTCCTCCTTAGAAGGGCCTGCCTCTGATCTTGACCAGACGCATTCTTCCCAGACTGTGGGATGGCCACTTTGCAGGCTATAACCCTTTACAATAAACAAAGCCTCCTTTTCCAAATGTGCTTATTGTGTTTTTTTGGGTTGGCACACCTGATCAGGTCCATGAAGGCATCGGCTGTGGGGATGGTCTCGATCCGGCCCTCCCGGTGCAGCCCCTCCTTGGAGCCCTTCCCTGGATGGATGATGGTGACCATGAGGATTCCAATGAAGACCGCGATGATGGTGGTCACCATGTAGTACACAGCTGCCCGCATCCCCATCCGCCCCGTGGCCTTGTTGTCCAGGGACGCCATACCTGCAGGACAGATGATGCGGCGCCCACAGCTCCATGCATACCCAACACCAGGTCTCCTGGCTATCCATTCCACCCATCTCACCAGCTCAACAGCCATTCCACCAAGCATCCCTTTTCTTACAGCCCACCCCAGAACCCACCCATTACCCATTACCCACACCACTATCTTCCTACTGCTATTCTATTTTCCAAATACACGCCCTCACACTCCACCCCAATTCTTACCCAAGCAGCACTCCACTACCCTGCTACCTTCCCTCCATTCCAAGCCAACCTTTTCCACCCTTTCACCCCATCCTCAATGGACTCTTGTTTTGCACCATAACCTAACTTTCTTTCTTTTTTGAGACAGAGTCTCCTTCTATCACCCAGGCTGGAGTGCAGTGGTGCGATCTTGGCTCACCGCAACCTCTGTCTCCAGGTTCAAGCAATTCTCCTGCCTCAGCCTCCTAAATAGCTGGGATTACATGTGCCTGCTGCCATGCCGGGCTAATTCGTGTGTTTTTAGTAGAGATGGGGTTTCACCATGTTGGCAAGGCTGGTCTGGAACTCCTGACCTCAGGTGATCCGCCCGCCTCAGCCTCCCACAGTACTAGGATTACAGGCGTGAGCCACCACACGCAGCCCATAACCTAATTTTCATTCCACTTGCCATCCCACTATTCATCCCAAAATCACACCTTCCTCCAACCCACCTCACTGCACGCTGTTTGTATCACATGTTCTTGCTGTTTCACTCCTACACCCTTTCCTAAGCCAATATGCTGATCCTTCAGCCCAAGAGCACTGGCTACAAATAGCTCAGGCTGTCCCCTTCTGCTGAGAATTGCCCTCAGCAAAACAGGAGCTATCTTGTCCACAAAAACCCCAGAAGAGACCTACGGCCAGTGAATGACTCTGCAGGGATTTGCACCGGCCAGCTCTTTTGACTCAGGTGGCAGCAGAGCTGGGGAGGGGTTCAATTCTGTGGTTCTGCTCAAACTCCAGAGCTCCCCATGGATCAGGCTGAGAGGCCAGCCTTCTTCTGAAACCCACATCTTTGCTTCACTGGTTTCCCAGTCCTGTCCCACTTTCCTCACTTCCTTGTGAGTTTCTCTTGAGAGCTATCCCACAATAAATCACCACCTGTGCAGATATCCCCATCTCAGTCAGGCTCTGTTTCCAGGAAACCCAACCTAAGAAACCATTTCTTCATGTATTTTTCTTCTTCCCCATCCCCAAATCTGGTGATTGGCAAGATGCTATTCATGCCAAATCCAGCCCTCTGCCTGCTTTTGTAAATAAAGTTTTATTGGAACACAACCATGCCCATTTGTTCACGTGTTGTCTATGACTGCTTTTGTGCTACAATGGCAGAATTGAGTACAACTGACCCTTCAACAACATGGGTTTCAACTGTTTGAGTACACTTATGCATGATTTTCTTCTGCCTCTGCCATCCCTGAGACAGCAAGACCGTCTCTTCTTCCTCCTCAGCCTACTCAGCATGAAGAAAATGGGGATGAAGATCTTCATGATGATTCACTTCCACTCAATTAATAGTAAATAAAATTTCTCTCCCCCCGCAATTTTTTTTTTTTTTTTTTTTTTTTTTTTTTTTTTGAGACAGAGTCTCACTCTGTCTCCAGGCTGGAGTACAGTGGTGCGATCTTGGCTCACTGCAATCTCCACCTCCAGGTGTTCAAGTGATTCCTCTGTCTCAGCCTCTTGAGTAGCTGGGACTACAGGTGCACACCACCATGCCTGGCTAATTTTTTGTATTTTAGTAGAGACGGGGTTTCACTATGTTGGCCAGGATGATCTCAATCTCTTGACCTTACGATCTGCCCGCCTCAGCCTCCTAAAGTGCTGGAATTACAGGTGTGAGTCCCTGCACCCGGCCCCCCTTATCATTTTTTAATAGACAGGATCTCACCCTTTTGCCCAAGGTGGAGTGCAGTGTTGCCATCACAGCTCACTGCAGCCTCGAACTCCTGGGTTCAAGTGATCCTCCGGCCTCAGTCTCTTCAGTAGCTAGGACTATAGGCATGTGTCACCACATCCTGCTGATTTTTTTTTTTTTTTGTGGAGATGGAGTCTCACTGTGTTGCCCAGGCTGGTCTGGAACTCGTGGACTGAAGCAATCCTCCCACCAGAGGCATAAGCCACCTCACCTGGCCTCATTTTCTTGATAACATCATATTCTCTAGCTTACTGTATTTTAAGAATATAGTATATAATGCATGCAGCATGTAAAATACGAGTCAGTCTGCTGTTTATGGTCAATAGTAGGCTATGAGTATAGTAGTTAAGCTTTTGGGGAGTCAAAAGTTTTATGTGGATTTTTGACTGTGTGGGGTTGGCATCCCTAACACCCAAATTGTTCAAGGGTCAACTCTAGTTGCAAAAAAACCATATGGCCCTTGAAGTTGAAAATGTTTACAATCCAGCCCTCTAGAACAAAAGTTTGTGGACCCCTGCATAAGTCAACTATACTCCCACTTCCATTCCACCTTCTGCCCACTAAGCTGTTACCTCATCTCACACACCTTCCACACCTTAATCTACATCCTACTCTCTGCACATCCGCACCATAGCCCAGCCACCTACCTAGATGCCCCTCCAATACTTTCTCTCACCTCTGGGTGATACTGAGCCCCTTGCAGGCTGGCATTTTACCTCCAAGGAAAAGTACAGGAAGCCTACTGAGATAAGTGGTGTGGGTCATATGGGGTCTGGAACCTGGGACTGATCAGGACCTGGGCTTTGTTTTGCCAAGGACCCTGGACCAGACAGCTTCCATGTTTGAGGTGCAGCATGAAGGACATGGTCCCATGCTCAGGGTAGCCTTGGCTCTGGGTTCAAGCTGAGGCTCTGGATGGGTCTGGGAGGCCAACACTGGCCTGGGCTCTCTCACCTGTGACCAGGCTGGAGACAATGAGAGGCAACACCAGCATCTGCAGCATCCTCATGAGAAGCTCTCCAGGAAAAGAGAAATACTTGATCTGGCGGTAGGTGAGCTGATAGGGGCGCAGGGCAAAGGCGAGGCTGACCCCTAGGGGCAAATGAAAAGGTCTATGGAGCGAAGTCTGGATCACTCAGCCCCAGACATGGTCCATCCATCCCAAGAAGGGTAGGGTAAGGGGAGGGGTGAGAGAGATAAATACCCTATAAGTGTGTGTATTTGTGTGTGCACTGATGTGTGCATACCTTGTAGAAATGTATACATTTATGGGGAGCCATATTGATATTGTGTAAATACATGTCCATGTCTGTGTAAATATAAATGCATAAATGTGTAAGTGTGTATATATCCAGGATATGTGACAGTAGCCGTTCACTTGTGAACATGTATAGGTGTCTGTTCACATGGCATATACACATGAATATGCACGTGCATTTTCCTGGACATCTATAGGTGTGATGTGTGTATATGTTACTATTTTCAAACATGGGAGTGTATGTGTTTTAAGCTCATAAGTGTGTGCACATGTGCTCAGGAGAATGCATGTGGACATGTGAATGTGTTTATAAGTTCCAATATACATGAGCAAGTGTGCATGTAAGTTTCTGTGTTTGCACCTGTAGGTTCTACGCGTGCATAGTAAAGTGTGTTTGTACAGTGTATATGTATATATGTGTGTGTATACACACGGATATGCATGTAACTGTGTGCACACATAGCTGTGTTTGCACATGTGTGTATCCATCTGTATGTTCTGTCTTTATGTGGTGTTGAGGGTGGCTGGTGGGACTGAGACGTGTGTGCAGGTGAGAATGAGGGGGTGGGACAAAGAGATGTGTAAGGGCCAGGAATTTCCCTGAAGTCCCCGCCCTCCAGGAGGCAGAGCTCACCGATGACCACGGCGCTGACCGTCAGCAGGATGAAGGCGTTTCGGCGCAGGAAGCGCAGCACGTGCTCACGGGTCATGGTCTGCAGGCGCAGGCGCGTGCGCAGTGCTCTCTGCTGCAGGCTTTCCTGCAGCCGCTGCAGCCAACCCACCCGACCCAGCCGCTGGCCGCTCTCCCGCAGGAACAGGCTGTTGCCATGGCTGCTCATGGTCTATCTGCGGGAAACAGAGAAGCCTGGGGCTGGTGAGGGCCAGGACAGAAGGTAGGCGTGGGCAGATGGGGAGGGCTGGGAAGGGTGATGGGCGCTTTCTGAGGACTCTCAGAAGGCGGGGGTAGCTGGGTGTGTTGGCTCACGCCTGTAATTCCAGCACTTTGGGAGGTGGAGGCAGGAGGATTACTTGAGCCCAGGAGTTCAAGACTGGCCTGGGTAACATAATGAGACCCTGTTTCTAAATATTTAAAAATAGCTGGGGGTGGTAGTCCCAGTTCTTTGGGAGGTTGAGGCAGGAGGATCACTTGAACCCAAGAGTTCAAGATTACAGTGAGCTATGATCTTCCTAGCCTGGGCAAGATAATGAGACCTCCACCCCTCTAAAAAATCACAAAGGCCAGGCACAGTGGCCCACACTTGTAATCCCAACACTTTGTAAGGCCAAGGCAAGAGGATTGCTTGAGCCCAGAAGTTTGAGGCTGCAGTGAGCTATGATTGCACCATTACACTCCAGCCTGGATGACAGAGCACAGCTCTGTCTCTAGGAACAACACATGAATAAAAATAAAATTTTTAAAAAGAAGGTGGGAGGGAGAAGGTCAGTCTGTTGGGATGTGCCCGTCCTAGGACACCTGAGAGACTGCCTGGGGTTCCAAGGTCAGGTCTTGGCAGAAAAAGATTAAGTCTCCAGAATCATTCCTGGGAATGGCAGGGAAGAGGAGAAAACCACAAAATAATGGATGTTTTTGACATTCCCTGACTCCAGCCCACTCTTATTTCACTGATTTCATCACAAGCCTCTGGGGGCTGCCCCAGCTGCTCAAAGGAAACTAACAAGTGTTTGTTAAATGCCAACTGCATACAGAGCTGTAGACAAGGCACCTGGAGGCTAGTTACCCAAATTAAGACACTTTCATGTCCGGCATGGAGGCTTTCCACAAGGACACAATCAGCAGGTGCCTGGCAAACCACAGGTGCCCAGTAAATGCAGCTATTCTGCCGGAATGCCCAGGTGAGCAACATGGAGGCAGGGAGTCCCTTGGGAAAGAAATGATAATGATTCTCGCGGCCGCAGTGTGATGTTCATGAGCCCCTCTGGGGTAGCAGGCACTGTACCGATGTTTCCCAGACTGCAGATTGTTGTGCTTTCTCTTTATCTTTGGCCATATCCATGTGTCCTTCTTCACTTATCTAAAAACCTGTACCAAACCAGGCACAGTAGCTCAGGCCTGTAATCCCAGCACTTTCGGAGGCTGAGGCAGGCAGATCACCCGAGGTCAGGAGTTCGAGACCAGCCTGGCCAACATGATGAAACCCCATCTCTACTAAAAATACAAAAATTAGCTGGGTGTGGTGGCGGGTGCCTGTAGTCCCAGCTACCCCAGAAGCTGAGGCAGGAGAGTCACTTGAACCTGGGAGGTGGAGGTTGCAGTGAGCCAAGATTGCACCACTGTACCCCAGCCTGGGTGACAGAGCCAGACTTTGTCAGAAAGAAAGAGAGAGAGAGAGAGAGAGAGAGAGAGAGAGAGAGAAAGAAAGAAAGACATTTCTGTGGGTCCCTAAAAGCACTGTGTGCTATAGATGCTATACCTCCTAACCTACACTGTTGTCATAACCAAGAAAGGACAGTGCCTTTGTTCCAGGGATACTGAGAACTCTGTTCTTCCTTCTTGACCCACTCTCAGGCTCCCTCTCCCACTGGTTCCCTTTCGATCTGTCCAGGGGAAAGGACAACAGTATGGCGATTTCTCAAATAACTAAAAATAGAACTACCATCCATCCAGAAATCTCCCTACTGAGTCTCCACCCCAAGGAAAACAAATCATTGTATCAAAAGGATATCTGCACTGATATGTTTCATCATAGCATCATCTGCAACGGCCTGGATGTGGAATCAACCTAAGTGTCCAGGAATGGATGATTAAGGAAAATGTGATGTAGATAAGTATATTACATTATAGATAAATCAATCTGTATCACATTTATATCAACATCACATTTTCTTGCTGCATTGTTGCTTATATTATTGTATCTACGTTTCGTGATGTATATAATGAAATACTAATCAGTCATAATAAAGAATGAAATGTACCACCCATGCAACATGCATGAAACTGGAGGCCAGCGAGATAATTCAGAAGCAAAGTTTAATACCACAAGTTTACTTATAAATGGGAGCTAAATGATCTGTACACAAGGATACAGAGTGGAATAACAGACACTGAAGACTGGAAAGAAAGGGTGGGAGGGTGAGACGGGGCTGGGGAGGAAAAATTACTCAATAGGTACAGTGCACACAATTAGAGTGATGTTTATAGTAAAAGCCCAGACATCGCCGCCATGTGACCTATACATGTATCAAAACTACCCTTGTACCCTCTACATGTATACATGTATACAACATTCTTTTTTTTTGAGGCTGGAGTGCACCGGCACAATCTCGACTCACTGCAACCTCCACCTCCCAGGTTCAAGCGATTCTCCTGCCTCAGCCTCCCAAATAACTGGGATTACAGGCGCCCACCACCACACCTGGCTAATTTTTGTATTTTTAGTAGAGTCGGGGTTTCATCACATTGACCAGGCTGGTCTCAAACTCCTGACTTCCGGTGCTCTGCCTGCCTCGGCCTCCCAAAGTGCTGGGATTGCAGGCATGAGCCACTGTGCCTGGCCACAAAATTCTTTTAAAGACAGTAGGAGAATGGAGGGCGGGAAGAGATGGAGATGGAGTGTTTATTCTTCTACCTCCCAGCTCCCTGTGCCAGGCCACTATTTGGCTGATGTGTTCCTCTACCTAAGGCCACTGCTCCCATAGGGCAGTCTTGTGGCATAACCTCTAATCTCCTTGGGTCCTCTTCTCTGCTCATATCTTCATGAATAGTCTGATCATAAATCCTTTACTTCTCCCTTTGGAATCTGCCATCTGTTCCCCTAGCAATACACCAGATTCATCTGACTCAGAAAGAAAACCCCTCTAAATCAAAGGAAGACACTAAATATTGTATCCTTTACTGGACTCTGTACCTGTTTGGTTTGCCTGGGAGTGTCACACCTATAAAGAGAATTTGTTCACCTCTCCCATCTACTTCCTTTTTTTCTGAGACAGTTTCACTCGTTCCCTAGGTTGGACTGCAGTGGCGCAATCTCAGCCCACTATAACCTCCGCCTCCTGGGTTCAAGCAATTCTCCTGCTTTAGCCTCCTGAGTAGCTCAGATTATAGGCACCTGCCACCGCACCCGGCTAATTTTTTTTTTTTTTTTTTTGCATTTTTAGTAGAGACAGGGTTTCATCATGTTGGCCAGGCTGGTCTCAAACTCCTGACCTCAGGTGATCCACCCCTCTCAGCCTCCCAAAGTTCTGGGATTACAGTCATGAGCCACAGCACCCTGCCATCCCCACCCCTCCGCCCATCTACTTTCTAAGGGATCAAGGCTCCCTGATATCTTTTCTCACCTCAACAGTATCTGAATTCAACCAGGTCGGGCTGGGAGTTTCTTGGAGGTCTCAGTTTTACCAGTATGTAGGTGCCTGGGCCTTTTTTTTTTTTCCTGCCACTGGCTTTTCTGGGATCTTTCTTGCCCTCCTCCACTCCTCACCATATCCAAAGGATGGGACATCCGCCCTGGTTTTCCAGAGCTATGTCCTCTAGATTGAATCCAAATTCCCAATGCCAAGCCCCATTTAGGATCCTGCTCCAAATGGATCCGTCTTCTGAAACCACAATGCTGCTTCTCACATTGCTGTGGGAAAAAACCCACAGAGAGTGAACCACAAGACTACAGAGGGAATGTACAATCCCTCCCTCTCCTCTGGGATATTATGTTTCCAGGCACTAAGCCATAGCAGGAGGTTGCCTGTGGATCCCAAGAGAGATCATTCACCTAAGATCTGAACAGTCAGGAAAACTCCAGAGCCTAGAGTTTTGTCTGGTTCCTTTCTCTTCCTTACAAGACATAGCACAGTATTGACAAACCTAACCTTTGGTCTGCTAGCCAAATTCAGCCCACTGCTTGTTTCTGTAAATAAAGTTTTATTGGCACACAGCTACACTCATTCATTGTCTACAGCTGCTTTCAAGCTACAATGCCTGAGTTGAGTTGTTGGAACAGAGACTACCAGCCACAAAGCTGAGACTATCTCCTCTTGGGCCATTTGCTGAAAGAAATTGCTGAGCCCTGGAGAAGAGCAGACCATACTTAGCATCTGTGGGCCACAGTGGCTTATGCCTGCAATCCCAGCACTTTGGGAGGTGAAGGCTGGAGGACTGCTTGAGCCCAGGAGTTCATGACAAGCCTGGGTGATGTAACCAGACCCCATCTCTTTTTAAAAAAATTAAAATTAGCCAGGCATGGTGGCCTGTGCCTGTAGTCCTAGCTACTCAGGAAGCTACAGCAGGAGGCTCACTTGAACCCAGGAGGCTGCAATTAGCTATGATCACGCCACTGCACTCCAGCTTGGGTGACAGCATAAAACCATGACAAAAAAAAAAGAAAGAAAAAGAAAAGAGAAGCACCTGAAGACCACAAAATAGATGTCAACTGTGGTTGATAAAAAGCAGAAACCTGGCCGGGCGCGGTGGCTCAAGCCTGTAATCCCAGCACTTTGGGAGGCCAAGGCAGGTGGATCACAAGGTCAAGAGATCGAGACCATCCTGGTCAACATGGTGAAACCCCGTCTTTACTAAAAATACAAAAAATTAGCTGGGCATGGTGGTGCGCACCTGTAATCCCAGCTACTCAGGAGGCTGAGGCAGGAGAATTGCCTGAACCCAGGAGGCGGAGGTTGTGGTGAGCCGAGATCACGCCATTGCACTCCAGCCTGGGTAACAAGAACGAAACTCTGTCTCAAAAAAAAGAAAAAGAAAAAAAAGCAGAAACCTAACTCACACAAAACTACAAGTACAGTAAAATGCTACAGTGTCAGGATGACTTACTATCTATTTTTCTCAGTGCTGTCTGCATCACTTATGAGTATATACCAGTGTGATTGTCAATTAATAGTAACATTAATTTTCAAAACTGTTTGACTCAAAATGTGATCTTGATCTCCACTCGGGCCTCTCTGGGTCTCTCTTCTCCCTACCCTGGGCTCTCTCTTTTCTAGGCTTTCCTGGGTCTAGGTTTTCTTCTGGACCTACCTCTTGGGTTTCCTGCTCAGAAAATGTCCCTTTTAGTGTCCCCAGTTTCTACAGGGTGAGGGGTGAGAGTAGGTCTTTCCCACTTGGGTCTCTCAACCTCCAGACGCTTACATGTGATGAGATGTGTCAGCTGCCCCTTGGAGCCTCTTACATCTCTAAAACTAAAGCAAGCTACAGTGAGCAAAATGAAAATGCTTTCTTTTCTTTTTTTTTTCCCCTGGGCTCCTTAATTTTTTTTTTTTTTGAAAACGCTTTCTATACATTTTTTTTTCACAATTGCATGCTAGCATTGAGTGAGGGGAGTGAGGGAGGGGAGGGAGAGACAGGATGGAAACCATGTACACATCACACACACTCAGACACACACAGGCACACATAACCTCGAAAACCTCTTGCATGCAAATGACACATTCACAACCCCAGATAGACACAGTCACAAACTCTTCAGACATACAACCACACACATACACACACACACACACACACACACACACATGAATACCTTCAGAAATGCAGCTCCATGCATGCAGTCCTACAATCCCTACACACACACTTACCACATTCATGTGCACCCTCAGGCACACAACCACACACGCCTTCAGAAATGCAATTCTGCACATGCACACTCACACACTCGCCACATTCAGGTACACCCTCAGGCACACAGTCACATACCTTTGGAAATGCAATTCCAGGCAGGCAGTCATACAGTTCTGCACGCGCACACACATTCATGTACATGCTCAGACACACAACCACATACACCTTGGCTCTGCACAACCACCCTTCATGAACTAAATACCACAGAGGCAGGTACTGTGGCCTGTGCCTGTAGTCCTAGCTACTCAGGAATTGTAGGAGACAATCATACAATTCCTACACACACACACACACACACACACACACACACTCTTTAAAACACAAAACTTCAGACTTTCAAAATCATCCCCACATTTAAGCATTCAGCTCCACGCACCTGTTCAGGAAGGCGACCTCAGTCTCTCTCTGTCTCTCTCTCTCTCTCTCTCACACACACACACACACACACACACACACACACACACACACACACAAATGCCCAGACCCCCTGCAGCCTCAGCCACATCAGATATGTGTGGAACTGGTGAAATAAGCCCTCTGATGGGGAAGGCAACCGAGCCCTGTAAATGCACTGAGGCATCAGGCTCGTGCTCGGTGCTGGAAGCATGAGGGTGAGCGGAGGCCACGGGCTGGGAGGTGGGGTGACGGGCAGGGAGACCCGGGGATAACTAAGGTGATAGGAAACAAATCGGAATGACCAGGAGAGAAGCGGTGGCAGGGAGCGCCTCCCACGCCTGCCCCCAGAGTGAGCCCGGCGCGCCTCGCATCCCACCTGCCAGCCACCCCTGCGCCCCAGCCGAGCCGCGGAGCCCCCACTCACCGATGTCCTGAGCGGCGGGGGCAGCCTGCCCGCGCCTCGGCCTGCACGATGCGCCCGGAAGCAGGAGCCGGAGCCCGGCGAAGCGCCCGGCCGGGGCCGCGGGGACCCGCCAGGGACTGTGCAGCGCCGGCGCAGGGACCCAACGGTGGAGGCACGGGCGCGGAGCCGGGACGCGCTGTGCTGCCGGCGGGATCCAGGCCGGCCCTGCGCTCACGTGGGTGTGGGGGCGCCGGGCGGCCGGGGGAGGGGGCGGGATCCCCTCCGCGATGCCCCCCGCCTCCCCCGCGCCCAGTCCAGGCTCGGCAGCCGCACGGGATAAGGGGGACCGCGTGTTTGGGAAGGGCGGGGGTTGGGGTGGTGGGCGGGCGTGAGTGGCATCTCCAGCATCCAGCCCCCGCCCCCTGCTCGGAGCCGCGCCTTCGCGCCCTCCCCACCCCCAGCTGACCGCCTCCGGAGCCCTCTGAGGCCCCAGTATCCCGGGAAGAGCGCGGGGACCAGGCCCTGGCACCGCGGGACCCGCGCCAGCAGCCTCCGCGGAGGCCTGGGGAAGGCGCGGCTCTAGTGTCCCAGTGGCCACAGCCAGGTCGAGGGCTCCGCCGCCTCCTTCTGCTCCCTGCTGGGGCACGGTCCGGCGGTGGCGGTGGCCACTTGGCCGCTGTGTGCCCTTGGGCCAACCCCTCTCCCTCTCTGATCCTGGCCTCAGCTAAACAAGGGAGATGACTTGGCCGACCCTACAGAAAATCAAAGCTGAGAAAATTAAAGCGCGTGAGGCTGGAAATGCTCCGTGCCAGCGCGAAGCACTGGGCAAATGGGAAATGGATAATGCTGTTCCTATTGTAATTATTATTCTTTGCTGTCTTTAGAGCACAGCAGGCAAGCTGCACTTGGCTTTTCTTCTCGAAAAGCAATGACTTGGTTGCTTCCCACATCTTCCACCTCTCCTGAGAACTAATGCCGTCTAAAGATCTAAGCATAGTCTATCGTGTGAATAAAAACTCAGTGCAGGCCAGGTGCGATGGCTCACACCTGTGATTCCAGCACTTTGGGAGGCCGAGGTGGGCGGATCATTTGAGATCAGGAGTTCAAGACCAGCCTGGCCAACATGGTGAAACACTGTCTCTACAAAAATTAGCGGGGCATGGTGGGGTGCCTGTAATTCCAGCTACTTGGGAGGCCGAGGCAGGAGAATCGCTTGAACCCGGGAGGCGGAAGTTACAGAGAGTCGAGATCGCACCACTGCACTCCAGCCTGGGCTAGAGAGCGAGACTCCATCAAAAACAAGCAAACAAAAAACCCTCAGTGCAGTTCAATGTTTTTTATTATTGTTGCTGATAATGATTGAGTTGGTGGCAACCTCCTGAAAGCTCTTTTATTAATAGTGATATTTAATCTACACATTCCTACGAAGTAAGTATCACTTCCTCTATTTTCAGAGAGGGCACAGGTGCTCAGAAAGGTTCAATAGCTTGTCCAAGGTCACACAGCCAGGAAACAGGTGCCCCAATTCTAGTTCTTTGCATGCATCGCCCTGGCTCTGCTTCTTTGCAACAGCTCCTAGATAGGTGATTCTCAAACTTAACTGTATTTAAAAATCACCGGGAGAGCTTTTAAAAACTCTGAAGCCAGCCTGACATGGTGGCTTGTGCCTGTAATCCCAGCACATTGGGAGGCCAGGGAGAGAGGATCACTCAAGCCCAGGAGTTCAAAATCAGCCTGAGCAACGTAGCAGGACTCTATTTAAAAAAAATAAAAAATAAAAAAAATAGCTGGGCACACACCTATAGTCCCAGTACTCAGGAGGCTGAGGCAGGAGGGTCACTTGAGCTAGGAGGTTACAGTGAGCTGATTGTGCCACTGCTCTCCAGCCTGGACCACAGAGCAAGACCCTGTCTAAAAAAGAAAGAAAAGAAATCTGATACCCAAGCCACACTGTAGACCAAGGGCATCAGCATCCCTGGAAGTGGGACTCAGGCATCAGCATATTTGAATGCTCCCAATGTATGGCCAAGGCTGAATCCCTGTCTTTGACATCAGGTTCCCCCAGACCACATTGGGAAGCCCTCCCTGCAGCCTTCTCACTCCTGCTTCAGTCGCTCGCTGTGCTTGGTCGATTCTGCATCCTTCTTGAACCTAGAGCTGCTCCTGAACTCCTGTCTCTTACAGTCATTCACTCCACAAATACTTCCTGTACACCCGGCTGTGCCAGAGGCTAGACATTCAGCAGCGAAGACAACAGGACCCTTGGTCTGTCACCCAAAATAGTAAATAAAATAGTAATAGTTTCCCGGCGACTGGGTCTTGCAAACCCTTTACACCCATAACGGTCAGGGAGGATCCCAAAGAAACCCTCGCTCAAGTCTAAGCATGAGGAAAATGTCAGATAAACTTCAATAGAGAGGAATCCTATAATCTACCTGCATAGTCCTCTTCAAAACAGTCATTAAAAATTAAGGAACGTTCGGAGCAGGTTTTGGTGGCAGGTGCCTGTAGTCCCAGATACTCAGGAGGCTGAGGCAGGAGGACCTCTTGAGCCCAGGAGGTTGAGGCTGCACTGAACTATGATTGTGCCACTGCACTCCAGCCTGGGCAACAGAGCAAGACCCTGTCTCTAAAGAAGTAAAATAACATAAGAAAATGAGAAAATAAGGAGTGTCTCAGAAACTGTGAGAGACAAGAGGGTCTAAGAAGATATGACAACCAGATGTAATGTGAGATCTTAGAACAAAAAGGATATAAGGAAAAAAATGAGGAAATCTGAATAGAGTATGGGCTTTTGTTAATAATAATATATCCATATTGGCTGGGCATGGTGGCACAACACCTGTATTCCCGGCCCTTTGGAGGCCAAGGTGGGCGCATCACTAGAGATCAGGAGTTCAAGATCAGGCTGGCCAACATGGTAAAAGCCCGTCTCCACTAAAAATACGAAATTAGCCCAGGCATGGAGGCAGGTGCCTGTAATCCCAGCTACCCAGGAGGCTGAGGCAAGAAAATCACATGAACCTTGGAGGCAGAGGTTGCAGTGAGCCAAGATTGTGCCACTGCACTCCAGCCTGGGCAACAGAGTGAGACTCTGTCTCAAACAAAACAAAACAAAACAAAACAAAACTATCCATATCAATAACATTTTGTTAATAATGTATCAATATAATAATGTATCAATATTACAATATGGTAATTATATAAATGTGCCATACTAATGTAAGATATTAATAATAAGTGAAATTAAGTCAAGGGAGTATATGGGAACTGTCTGTATTATCCTTGCATTTTTTATGTAAATCTAAAACTGTTCTCAGAGTCTGTGACTAAAAATGCAAAACTTAGCCAGGTGTGGTGGTGCACGCCTGTAATACCAGCTACTCAGGAGGCTGAGACACAAGAATTGCCTAAACCCGAGAAGAGGACGTTGCAGTGAGCCAAGGTATCGCCACTACACTCCAACCTGGGTGACAGAGACTGTATCAAAAAAAAAGTTAATTGTACATTACACAAGTTTCACTTCAATAAAACAAAAGGAAAGGAGTGCCAAAAAACCTCAGTATTAAAGAGAAATAATGTTTCAATGCAACATTTTTAGAAATCAAAATGAATGCAAAAAATCCACAATGAACAAAGTAGATCAACATGTTAAATAAAGACAGGACCAAAGTTCTTCGCTTTTCCTTCTGCTTTTTATTTTATTTTATTTTTGAGACAGAGTCTTGCTCTGTCCCCCAGGCTGGAGTGCAGTGGCGCAATCTAAGCTCACTGCAACCTCCACCTCCCAGGTTCAAGCGATTCTCCTGCCTCAGCATCTTGAGTAGCTGGGATTACAGGTGCCCACCTCCATGTCTGGCTAATTTTTGCATTTTTAGTAGAGACGGAGTTTCACCATGTCGGTCAGGCGGGTCTCGAACTCCTGACCTCAAGTGATCCACTAGTCTGGGCCTCCCAAAGTGCTGGGATTACAGGCGTGAGCCACTGCTCCTGGTCCCTTCTGGTTTTTAGGCTCCTGTATGGCTCAGTTCAACACTCTTACTGATTCTATCTTGAACATTCTGCTATTTTGTTCAACTATGGAGTTTTTTGCATTAATTTTGTGAGGTTTTTAAAAATTATTAACGTTGGAATATTATTTAGCTTAGTCACTGAGTTTTTTGGTGCTACCTTATATTTTGCATGCAGGACCAGTGTCTCAGCCTCATCATGGTGTCATGGGTCTGCTGCTCTCTCAGCAGTAAAGGCTGCCAGCTCTCTTTTACAGATGTAGAAGGGGCTCAAAGAGGTTAAGCAGCAGGCCTCAGAAGAACAGGGTTAGGGCTGGGCATAGTGGCTCACGCATGTAATCCCAGCACTTTGGGAGGCTGAGGCAGTCAGACCACCTGAGGTCAGGAGTTCAAGACCAGCCTGGCCAACATGGCGAAACCCCATCTCTACTAAAAATACAAAAATTAGCCAGGCATGGTGGTACACACCTGTAAACCCAGGTGCTTGGGAGACTGAGGCAGGAGAATCACTTGAACTCAGACGGAGGTGGAGGTGACAGTGACCTGAGATTGTGCCACTGTACTCCAGCCTCAGCTACAGAGCAAAACTCTGTCTCAAAAAAAAAAAAAAAAAAAAAAAAAAAATGAGTGGGGTCAGATTCAAGCCCACATTTGTCTTTCTAAAGCCACCCCAGGTCCACTCTGACTGGAGGTTCTAACTCTGGCCCTAGCATTAGGAGGGCAGGCAGTGCAGACAGAGCATCCCCAGGCTGCCCCAGACCACTGCCCAGGCTGCAGGGTGGAACTTGAACACGAGCTGAGCCAAGAAGAGCCTGAGACCGAGGAATCGAGGCTAATTCCTCTGTGGGAAACGCTCCCTATTAATTAATTAGGGCAGAGCTAGCCGGAGGCATCCCCGCATCCCCCAGAGTCATTAAGGGAGAGGGGGTCTCATTATCTGCTAACAGCTTCCCCACCGTTCCAGGGCCACAGAGGGAGCAGGGGGAGGTAGGAGGAGGATCAGGTCTCCCCCTCCTGATCCCCCCTCTTCGTTACCAGAGTGGCCTGATATGCAAGTGAAGTGTCTAAAAGCAGAATTTCAGGGGCAATCAAAAGGGGAAGTCAGAAACGAGGGATTCAGGATACCTCCTCCCAAATTCAGTCTGCATTTA